CTTCCCTGCTACCTTGTATTGTACGCTGCGAGTATGCAGCCTTTTTAAAAAAGAGGCTCAAACTAGAATTGTGGCCTTTTACACAAGTGGCTCGCAACTTCCCCTCAGTGAACTGCATGCAATCAACTGACAATAAACACTCCATTTCACAGCGTGAGAAGAGAGCGTGCACTTCCTTATTTTGTTCTAGGGAGGAAGAGCAAGGACGCAACACTAGTGGCCAGCCAGAACTGAGGGCACAACATGAGAGCAGCACAGGTCTTCAACATCTCGCCTGCGAGCGACTGCACACACGGAGTCCGGTTCTCTCTGGCCACGGCCGTGTTGTCCCCTTCTCGTTCTATGCTCTGCATCTTTCGTTTATCTGAACAAAAACACACGCTTTCCCTCAGGTTGTGGATCAACTTGGCCACAGGACCAGCCAACAGAGAATTAGCTGTATAATTTTGGTAATTTTCTAAAGTACATGGTTCAAAACACAAGGAGAACACACGAGAGGTATAATCAAACTGCAAAACTCAAGTAATGGAGCAATAAGCTGTAGTAATTAACTGTCCGCTCCTGTTTCTGACTATAAACCAGCTCTCAAAAAAAAGGACCAGAAGCAAGCAGAGTACCAAGCAGCCCTACAATACAGCTGTAGCAAGGAGATCCGTCATTACACCAATCACATTCATTGGAGCAGTATGACTACTTTGTCAGTAGTAGATAAGCGTTTGACCATTTCAAACTCTTTTCCGTCATGACCATCATCGCAGGTTTAGGCTGAAGTCGACATGCACTATGATACACACACACACGCACACAAAAATGAAATAAAATCTATGGAGGATAACCTATGGCCACACAGTGAACATCTGGCAATACGTGGCAAATGTTCACTTTGCATAGGCTGTCACCAAACATGTGAATATATGTTCTGCGTCTGCACAGTAAATGTCAAAAACACATTGATGAATGAAAAAGGGGTCGACAGGGTGAGCAGTGGATTTGCGAAACGATGAAAAACAGCTTTCATTTGTATAGCACGGTAATGGCCACACAAAACGGAGCGAAGTAGTATAGCTAACTTTGCAACTAAATTTGGCAGTGGCAGAGTAATACTATTTCCACATCTTGCTAATCCTGAAAACAGAGCCGGAGCTCGTGTGTAATAAAGTTTATCGCATAACAAGATCATAGTACTACTCCATTCATTCTCTTAATTGTAAAGTTTAACTAGCATACTCGACTCTGGAAAAAAAATGCCACCGCGACGTGAAAAAAGTTAAGGTTGTGGATTAATTATTGCATCTCTCTTACAAGAGGATTCGTGGAGCAAGAATTCCTTTCAAAAACAGTGGCATTTTTTTTTTCTTTAGCACAGAAAATGAGAAACTGATAACACCAGGAGGTTAGATTTTGTCTGTTACAAACATGCACTCATTCGCTTCATAAATAGATTCACTTGGAAGAGGATACAGGTTTGAGGAGGAAGCATGCAACGCTTTGAGTTATAAAACCTTCAGCTTTTCCCATTTTGTCTTTCAGAGGAAAATTCTTGAATCACAATCTTCTAATCCAACAGAAGCAGGCAGGTCATTTTGGATAGGTTTCTTGATGGTTCTCCATAGCCCAAACACCCACCCCCAGCAGTTACCCCCGAAGTTACAAAAGTCTCTATATGGCTTTGTTCTCCTGTGTGAACGATACTATTGCCATTTGTTTTGTTGGACAGGGATATTCCCAAACAAAAAAAAAGGCTCAAAATGGCCAATGAACGATCAGATAAGGAGAAGGAGGCACACTGGGACACACGATCAGGGGTCAGAGGTTAGGGTTCACAGGGTCCGGAGTCTGATGGGGGCAAAAAAAAAAAAAAAAAAGAATCTTCATTTCCTGTTAAGTTTTGTGCTCTTGACAGTGCGTTTGGAGCCCTCCATGCAGCTGCGTATACCGGCGAGGTGCAGCAACGAGCCCGCGGCTTCCTTCAGCTCCTCATCCAGCTCTGGCTTGACCTCGCGCCGTGGCCTCTTACCGACGGGCCACTTGATGGCGGGCGGACGTCGAGAAGTCTGGTGGACGCCCCTCTCGTCCCAGAGGTCGGAGTCCTCGTCGCTGTGGAAGCCCTCGCTGCCAGCGCGGCGGGACTGCCTGCCGTCGCAGCCTCCTTCGTCCAGGGAGGAGAGAGACGAGGAGGAGGAGCGGGAGGAGCAGCGCTGCAGGGCTACGCTGCTGTAGTTGTGGTCCTGCTTTGGATCGCTGCTCACCAGGACAGAGTCGGGTCGGGAGAGGTCCAGGGGGCTATCAGAATTGCCTGAGGAGAGCAGGAGAAGGAAAGAGTGATGAGTACACCTTCAAATGCAAAAGGAGATTTTACGGGCTTGTTACGGCATGACAGATGCTGTAAAGTTTGCATGTTATAGTCACGGTTTGTTTTAAATAGGTTGGGACTCCTAACTCAGAACTTAGGTTAACTGCCGAGTAAGTTTTCACTTGGTACATTGGTATCACAATGATAAATAAAGATAAAAAATAGAGACAATAAAAAGAAGCCTCTACATACAAATATAAAGAGTGAGAGAATAGATTAATTATTAATTAATTAATAATTAAAAATATTGAACTTTACAGTAAACAAGCTATTATTTTGGGTTGTTTTTGGCAGCCCCCCAAAAAAAAGCAGAAATCAGACACGGTAAGCCACACACTGTAGCTCTGTTTATTTAGTATAAAGCAGAACTAAAAGTTGTCTCGGCCCAAGTGGAAAACCCTGATTTAAAAATATCCCGTTGCATGCATGTTAAAGCCGAATTACCATCAACGGGGACAATCCAAATATTGGTAAAAGCCACTCAAACTAAAGTGATCCTTGGAGAGCTTTTGTAGTCATTGAATTAAATTAATTATGTACTGGTTAAATAAATTATGATCCAATGTAAAATATAAATCAGTAGCAGTAAGTTTTATTTATTTATTTATTGTAATTATAATTTTACACATTTAAAACACATGAAATTAATGATTTACTGTGTAGAAAGATTCTGCACTAATACAGCTGAATTTAGTTGGTAATATTGATGTTATAAGATGTTGAAGGTATGGTTCAGCATTTTGGGAAATATGCTTATTTGCTTTCTGGTGGACAGTTATATGAGAAGACCAGTAACTTCCTGGAATCTCCAATGGTTGCCTGGCAACTGCTCCAGGCCAAAAAGTTCGGGTTTTGTACAGATTAAAACAAACAAAGTGTTAATTTGTGAGTGTTAGAGGGTCTGGTAGGTGGATTTCTCCACCTCGGGACAGAACCAGGTAAGATGTTTCCTCCCTATTTCAAATCTTTGTGGCAAGCTACGCTAACCAGCTTACAGCTCTAGTATTTCCCAAATGTCAAACTACTCCTTTAATGTGTCTTTGAAAGAATGTCTGCAGGAAAAATCGCATGCAATCGCATGCAATCAGGTACAAGCAATGTTCTTAAAAACTTTCCTTTTCAAGAACCAACATTTTGCTAGTAAGAACAGGTGACACACAACATCCCAAATTAAAAGCACACAAAACAAAAGAAGATTTAAGCAATGAGAGGGTGGTAATGTCAGGGGCAGGAGACAAAGAGTTGGAAGAATAGGTGAAAGTATGGCTGCTTGTGGATTCTCTTACATGGGTCAACGTGGTGCCCGGGGGCAGAGTTTAAGAGCATCATGGCAGTGGCAGCATCAATGTCAGACTCTGGAAGAGGAGAGAACATGCATGATGGTCAGTCCTAAGGTGTGAAAGCATGGTAGCATGGCATCTCTATTAGGACTGGGAGGACTGCATTCTTGCAATAATTTTAAACTAGAGAAACAGCGACCCAATCAGTGCTTACTGAATGGACTGACTATGCAGAAGGTTTCGCCGAAACAAACTGGAGGATGAATTCAAGCCACTGATATTGAGAGTGCATCTGATCTTTTCAGACCTGACAAAGTGTCTAAAAGCCTCATAGCTCACTTCTGGGGCTCTAAATTATTAATGATTACAGTGAGACTGAGTGCTCGACACTCTGCACCAGCAGAACCTCTGCCTGTCGTCAAGGTTACAAATCCAAGAGGCAGGGGGGGGGAGAAGAGGCTGAGACATCGACTGGGAGCTCTCAACATTATGGTCTACATGAGGCATCAATGACTTGAAAGCAACAAATCAAACCAAGAGTTGAGGATAAAAGCACAGTGATGCTGAATGTTCTGGGACTGAAATGTGCAAAGGCAACATAATCAAAATACCGGACAAACACAAACTAAAAAACTGCACAGACTGGAATTTCTATACATCTGCAGGTTCTTGATCGGCGGGCAGCTTTTATTGTACATAACCAAACCTAAACACTGAGCCAAGTTTGCTTTGGTCTCACCTTTGAATGAGCAGCCTTGTAGAAAGAGATGGCGAGGGGGTGAGGAGGCACTGCAGAAGGTAAACAAAAGACATGGAGGGTCAGATTGTGTGTTTGCAAAGGAGATGTAAAGAAAAAAAAAACAGACCTCCAAAAATATAAACCTGCAAATATATGTGTGCTTTGCTAAAAATGCCAAGTCCAATAAATATTTGGATTATGGTAATACTGATTTGACAGAGACAGGGTTGCTGTGCCAATTCTGGTTTGAAAAGTGATTTCCAGCAACATCAAAGCCAATACAAACTCACTCATAATTCACAATGTCCAGACAGTGGCTGATTGAAGTTTACCTGGGTGGGGAGGCGGGTGGTGTGCAGAAGGCATGTGCGGCAGGGAAGTGCTGCTTCTTAAGGGCTTGGATCAAGTTGGGGCGGTACTCGGGGTCAACGCACCAGAGAGAACCTTTTCCATTGGCCTGTAGGAAAGAGCAGGAACAGTCAAACGTCTATACCCAGTAAATCTAGACGTCCTTACGTAGGATGAGTCCTGATTTCTGACCGTTACACAAATGATGATACAACCGCAAGCGTGTCTAGATATTCTGATTGGTCCTTTGATTGTATTTAAAGAAGGCTAAAGGTAGCCTGTGGAGCTTACATTTAGTGTTTCCCACCAGGAATTATTGTGTATATCCTTGAAGCCGAACACACATTGAATCCTTTCTCATTACACATACAAGGTAGCATTTTTTCTGTTTTGCTTGAAATCTTGCTACCGACTCTCAGTGTAATAGTGCAAAACCAGCAGCAGGACTATGTATCACATTGATGAAGAGTGTGCGTGCATCCTGGTACACAGGCACAAAATGAGGGACCACTCGGAAAAACATTTCTCCATTGTGTCACCGCTGGTCAAAAACACTCCACTCAGAGAGTTCGAGATCAATTTTTGTGATCTGGGAAAGCAGAGCACTATGAATGATTGTTATTTATCAGAAAAAAGGTAGAGTGTAACCTTAACCTTTAAGAGATTAGTCAGTGTAGCAACACAATATATATTATAGAGCCTTGCTGTAATAATATTATTACATTACTATTTGTATCTTATTCTTAATCCAACAAAATGACGCACAGAATTATTTGTAAAAAATGATTCAGAAAATTCTGAATGAAAGCTGACAAAAATCAATGAGTACTACATACAGTACACTGCACTTAAAGCAGCATAGTGCTGTGTGTCAGAATCCATTACAGTCTCAAACTTCAAGCGAGGAGCGCTCCATCATAAACAAAACAGTGGAAAATAGCAATCGCATAACTAAGAATTCCTTAACAGCCTGAACAAAAGGAGGAAATAACTGCTCCACGGTGCTGCGTGAGGAGTGAATTTGTCTGTTGGTGATGTGTGCGGGAGTGTGTTAACTGTCACTTTATCTGATGGCGGCGAACTGCCCAGTCTGGGAGGAGAATAGAGCGAGGGAGGGAGTGAGGGAGGGAGGGAGGAGAATAACCTTGACTCAGATTACCAACCAGCCCTGATGCAGGAAGAAGGAAATGTCTCCATGGCAACGGAAACCACCAGCCAGTGTCATGTGAAACTGGTGCTGGTCTCTCAGCAGACGAAGGGCTCACGCTGTGCACCTGCATGCTGAGCGGCCTGCGTCTCACCATGTCGCTACTCACTGAGTGCTAACCATCATCCCCTCCCTCGGTGGGAAAATACGAGGTCTTAGCCAGCCACAGCCCTGGCACCGCGGGCTCTGCCGGTCACAAGTCTGAACTCATACTGCAGCTCAATATGGCTACCATCGTGTCACTCCCTGGATCAGTGTGGCAACATACAAATTAGGTTACGTTCCAGTGCGACACAGGTCTGACTGTACTCTTACAAAACCTCCCTGCCTTTCTCCAAAATCTGAGCAACAAATGTAAAATTACTAAAAACTACTTACAAAAAAACGTATTGTTGACATGTTCAGCATTTAAACTCTATTAAAAGTCCCTGAAAACCAATTTTCTTAATTAGTTTCTTCCTATGAGAATTTAACATTTTCTGTCAACGTTAAACAAGTTTTGTTATTTCACGTGAGAGATAAATGTTTTTTTTTTTCTTCTGATGGCAGCTTTGGGGTTGTTTGTTAAAAGTTACTGTCAATCAAATCTGATCAGACCACACCCTCTTAGTATTGATGAAGCAGATGAACTGAATTTAACAGTATTAAGACTCCTAATTAAAAAAAAAACACCCAATATGTTTTTGATGAGCTTTAACTTTGCTTAGTTAGTCATCAATATTTAATGTTATAGAAAAAACACATGGGATTTGAAACCATGTTTTGAGGAGCTTTAAAGTCGGTAAGGTTTTCCAACCTAAGAGCTACACTCTCTAGCTCATTTGTGCAGCTTTTTTAGGAAGTAAACTCACAATTTCACAACAAAGATTTTCCCATTTCCCATTCAGTTTCCAATTCAGAATGTTTGTGCAGGATATGCAGGTGTGTCTGTCCTTCTGTCACAAGCATTGGGATTGATTCCTTGATATGAGATGATTTCTATACAGCAAAACTCTGCCAGGAACAGACTGGCAGATATCCCTCCTACCAAATCATCTCTGCACTTTAGGTCGCCTTTGTTTCATTCTCGCTGTGTGACGCTGAGGTTTCCAACTGTGGGAGGCTTCTCTCCCTGGTTGAAACAGTTGCACTACCTCGCAGTGTTCCGGGAGATAAAGTCCTATCGGAGTGTGCTGTGTTTGCATTTCCTCTAAAGGAGTATCTCTGACCTTGACTGGATTCCACCCTTATCGCAGCAGAGTCAGAGGTCCCTGCGGCTGTGTTACAGCCCCGGACACTGTCACATGAGCCACACTGCAGCGTCACACTGCAACACACTGTTAACCAACTGTGTTTTGCAAAACAAAGCAGACACATCTTGGCCCATGGATATTTTACTATCGCAGACTCAAACAATGATGCGATGACAACCGTTTCGAGAAGCATGATTTAAAAAGCGCTGTTTTTGAAGTTTAAATCCGTGTGAAGTGCGTGAAAGTTAGGAGACAATGTGCCAACCTACCTTCCCCAAACTCCGTTCGACCTTGCGGAAGCATTTGTTCAGGGACAAGTTGTGACGAACTGAGTTCTTCCAGCCAGTGGGAGCGTTGGAGAAATAAGGGAAGTGCTCGAGAATCCAGCCGTAGATTTCTTTAACAGGCAAAGACTTGCTGGGAGACTGCTCAATGGCCATGTAGATGAGGAGGGAAAATGAGAAAGGGGGCTTAGACTTCAACGAGTCCCGCTCCCTGCCTCTGCCGTGTGACGAAGATGACGAGGAGGACGACGGCCCCTGGTTGGACCCGTAGTCTCCCTCTATGTCAAAGAGGGGACTGCCGCTGGGCTGAGCTTCCGGACCTCCCAGGGTGAAGTTCTGAAGCAGGTTCTCGTGGAGCCAGTTGAGGTTGGTGAGCTCCTCATCCTCAGTGCCTCCAGTACGATCCACGCTGGTCGCCAGCGGACTGGACGCACACTCCGCCTCAGGCAGTGTTCCCACACCACAGACACCTCTGAGCCCTGTCCGCTCCTCTTGCATACCCGGAATTTCCGTTTTCTTATCTGGTGACATCCCAATGATTGGACCCATTAAATCAAAGAGGTCTGGAGAGAGAGAGAGAGAGAGGAGAGAAGGGGGTGTTACTGTTTACACATATGTAGGTAGTTTTTGATGGTGAACGGATTTCAAAACAAAGTTGGCAGCATGAAATAACTGGATGCGACATAATGGAATGACGTGCTCTTTCAAGCGTTGACCTTGTTTTCTTACGTTTTCCCAGGGGACACACCCCCTGTAGCAGTGCCTGTCTGCCTCTACTGCACTTCCTGGCCCCTCTCACTGCCCCCCTCTTCCACGCCTGGCGAGGACAGAGAGGCTCTCAGCTCCCACCCCCCACCCCCCACTCTTGACTCCATCCGAGGACCTTCGAGGAGGTGCTCTCAAGAAACTAAACCGACTTAAGGCTCCACTCCTCGACGCCCACCTCGTTTCAGACGAGAACTAGCTGCTCGTTATGTGTAAATGACCATGAGACCAGGAACGAGTGGAAGGTCTCCATCTTACGGGGTGGATGGCTCTTATGAACTGATCTGCATTCAGCCAGGATCGAGTCTCAATTTGTCACATGCCAGATTAAGTAGTGTAAAGAGGCTACAGGCCTAGGAGTTGTCATTTAACAGTACTGGAAAATTCCCTCTATCATTAACCACCCAAGTACCCTTTTTAATAAAACAACGATACTTTTTTTTTTTTTTTTAATATGTGTTCAGAGGAATAATTGCTGGCATGTCATCCCGTGCATGATCCTGTCAGAGTTTTTACTTGAACCTAATGTATTGACTTGTGATTTTAATTACAGGCACAGAAAAAGATAAAATAACTAAATAAGTACTTAACTGAAAATACATTTTGTCCAAAAATCTAAAAATCACTCCAAACCATAAGATACAAGCTACAGTCTTGCACACTGGTTGGTGAGGGCAAGAGCACAAAGAGATCACTCTTTGGCTCAGCTCACAACAAGCTTTATGTCCTGGGTGTCACCATGACAACCCTGCCGTCCCTTCAATTAAGAGCAGATATCCCAGAAACAAGAAATATAGACACAATAACAGAAACAAAGGTAATCCACGCCGGCTGGTTCTGCCACAGGCAACCAACGAGCAGCCACCCTGCAGCGAATATGCTCCTGCTGCACCCGTAGGTGGACACCAGATGCCCAGGTCCGGGGTGGTCTGGGATGTTCTGGATCCAGACCGAGACGGGAGTAGCATTGGGAGGTTGGAGAGTTAGCGGTGCAGAGAGAGTAGTGGATAGGCATATCTTTTCATTTCTGTGATAAGATAAGAATTGGGTCAAACTCGAGGGTGTTTGCATAGTGGGTGAGACAGGAGAGGGAGTGTACACACACACAGACACACACACAGACACACGAATCAGTTTGTCAAGGCCAGTCAGAGAGAACAGGAGGGGGAAGAAGGAGGCATTAGTGCACTTATAAAATGACCGCTCAACTCTCAATGAGGGGATAAAGATATATCGGATAGAACCTATTTTGGTTTAGAGTGACTTCTAAATCTAAGGTCGTAATTTATTCAGCCTTAAAAGGATACTCATCCTGTTTCTGTCATAATATTACACCCTGCCTGCTGTATAGGTGATGTCGTGTTAGTGACATTTGGTCCTGCATTCTGCCTGTCAATCCTCTTTTGTCTGCATTTTCATTTGTCAGCACCATTGAAATTTCTTTGTGAACCGAATACACTTCTGTGATTTTTATCACCGAAAAAAGGAAGTAAGTCAAAGAGCTTTCCAGGCCAAAGGCAAAGAGACAGACAGAGTGAACATAGGAAGAGACAGAACAATAGGAAAATCCTTTTACGGAAGGACAGAGCAAGAAGGAGAGAGCGAGCCAGCCAACACTCAGTGGTAGCGAGGTAGGCTGTGTAAGTTATCCACCGTCTACGATGAATCACAGCTCTCTGCAAAGTAGAGCAATCAGATATGTCAGGAAGCGAGAGAACTGCCCATTTGTGTTAAAAGAAAATCTCTGCTCGAGAGACCAAAACACAAAAAGATATCTCTTGACATGACAGGTTCCTACTCTGAATAGATCACGGACTATGCAGACAGACAAGGCCGCAGTTTTAGAGGACAATATCATTTTTATAATAATCTTTCCAAGAATCCCTCAATCAGAATTAAGCTAGCCACGTGCACAAGCCAAATATCAAATGCTTTTGAAACTAAATCCGTTCAGGTGCAATTAGTGGCAGGTTTTTGCGACCCATGTATGTACTTCTGTTGATGGCAGAGAGGAAGAAAGGATGAGTGAGGACGCCATCTGAAAAGGATTTCAAGCTGTTCTTTGTGAGTTTCAGTCAAGTCAAGATCCATGACGGTGCTACCCAATGTACGCAGATGACAAACATTAAAGGTCACAGTAAACCACAAGCCAACACAGGTGTGGTAAAAAAAAAAAAAAAAAAAAGGCCCTGAATGCATCGGGTCTTTGTTTGATTAAAAAGGTGTGGCCAAGGTGTTTTCTGGACCCAGGGCCAGCTGTAAACACTCCACTGGTAGTCTCTCTTTCTCCAACAGGCCATGAATGACTGTCTGTGAACTGTGAATTCAGTTTTGTGGCAGGGAGATGAGGAGAAGTCACGGCCCGGGTAAAGTGTCAGACCACTGATTAACCTTAAAGCCCAAGAGAGCTTCACCTCAGTCCATCTTCACAGCCCTGACCTCTCAGCTGGGCCCTTGGGTGACTGGGAGCACTTATCCCCGTGTGAGCAGCACCTCCAGAAGACCGTCATTTGAATATCAACAGAGGCAGGGTGGACGACTGAGAAAGCTGCCTTGCATCCAGCCAAACACAGGAAGTGTTTTACCATGACTGCAGCTGGTCAATTACCAGTGCTGTAGCAATGATCGCAGTTATCATTGCTCTTATGAAAAGGCATCAAAGAGAGGCGGCCGGGAATGCGATGAATAATGGGACACTAGCGTGTAAAGAGTGGAGAGGGGAGAGGGAGCTAATAAGCCGCAATGGCCTGTTGACTGCAGCTCATCCTTGAAAATACACCAAAGCTGCAATGGTGCTGACCTGATGGCTCATCTGCAAGTTAAAATAGCCCCGCGCACCGCCAGCCTCATCATATTCATGTGCAAGCACTAACAGCAGGTGCCAAGGCACATTTTTCCCCCCTTTCAAACTGCTCTTTTATCCTGTTAAGCACTTAGCCTATTCAGAAATACACAAAGACATATGGAGATAGCTTTAAGTGGCAAATCAAGCCGTTGATGTGTCAAATATGTACGGGGGAATGTAAAGGAGATGATAGAAGCATCAAAATGAAGAGGTTCTGGTTTGAGATGTTTTCTGGGAGCGAAATCTCACGATCAGGACTCAGTTGCCACGGCAGCCAATGTTGTAAGGGAAGCAATTGTGCTCATGTCTGTGCATGAAGAGAGAGCTAATGTGGGGAGATCAATACAGGCGGAAAATGCTGAGGCCAGCAGTCTGCTGCTGTTCTCCACAAACCTGTCTGACAAAGAGCAGTGGGAAAGACCACAGCCAACCTGGGTGTCACGGCACTACTGACGGAGTATATACTTAGACTTTATAATACTCATTGTATGCATCAAAAAGCTGTTTTTCCAGTAAAAAAAACAAAAAAAAAACAGAAATACATACAACCTATCATTTTTTTGGTAAATAACAGAACGGGAATTCGGAACAAAAACTCTGCTTTCAGTTCATAAACAGACCTACTTGTGCCACACCCTTTTCACAAGAAATAAACCAGTTGACACAAACCAGTTACACCTCTGTAACAGATACACAAAGGTGTGTCGCAAAGCCCCATGGCGAAGGCTGTTATTTAAAACCCTAACTGATATTTAGGCGACTACCCAGTCTGGCTGGAGCTCTAAAAATGTGAATGAGACAAAGGGGGGCTGAGTGAGAGTGAGAGAGAGAGAGAGAGACAGAGAGAGAGAGGGGTCCAAGTGGTAGTCTTTTATTTTATGGGAGGGTCAAATTATGTCATAACAAATAAAACATCCATTAATGTGAAGGCTAATCAGGCTACTATTAAAGCACGCCTAAATGATACATTTCCAAATAAAGCTACTCAATGGATTAAAACGATCTACTCAGTGTGCCCGAGGTGAAAGCAAATGAAAAAGCTTGCACAAAGCATTACAATTGGCCCCACACTCGGCTCGTACAAAGGAGCAGTTGTTTTTGCTCTAGTCATGTTTCCGAAGTGCTCAGTATTCACCTCACAGTTTCAAACAGAGTACCGGGAGGGAAGGAAACACCTCCCGCCTGTTGAGGAAGTTCATTTTCAGAAAACAAATTCAGACTTCACACAGAGACAGCTAGGCCCGCTCTACACCAAAACAGTGGACTGGAGCAGCGAGAGGCCGAGAGGTAGCGTTTACCGAAGCAGCAGCTATTTACTTTGGCAATCTATGAATTCCACCAGCATGCAGCTTATAGACTGCTGACAAACACCCGAGCCGAACCTAATGAAATGACTGATGCAATCACTTAACAGTCGGGGGAAAAGAACAAGCAAACAAAACAATAATGATTGGGATGTTCAGAGACTTTTAACTCCACATAGGGACTTCAAACGCAAACACACAGGACTGCACTTCGACTGTCAACTGAAGTGAGGCCCTGTAAAAGTACATGCCAGCTCCCAGCCAACACTGAAACCTTATCTCTTGGGTCATGTGGCTGTGAGTTCAGTGTACAAACACTCTCCACCGCGCCAATCAACATACGCAACAACTTCATATACTTTTAAATACCAAACACGGCACTAAGCGCCAGACCATTTGCTTTGCGCCTGTACACTAGGGTCCAAATCCTTGCAATAAATTACTGTAAGGACATTTTTTATAGTTTTTTTTTTATATATAGTTGGAGGAACAATAAATGTCCCTTTAACTGCTCAGTTGAAGTTGCAACATGAGCCTTTCCAGGAATGTGCTCTGTATGAGATTATGTTCCATGTAAATACTAGTAGTGTTTGCAAATAACTTTTGTGTACAAGAAACACTGATACCACCAGTAAGGCCCTGCAGGAGAATCAAGTGAAAAAAAGCCCTTATTCCTGAATCGTGGCAAACTGTAAAGGAATTCTTCATCGGGTATCCATGTCGGATCCAGTGGAAAGACCCAGAGAAAACAGCATGAAGACAGCTGAAAGTACCTCGGGTTCAAAGAATGAGACTACTTACTGAAGCTTCTGAAGTCAGTAAAATCAACAAAGTGCATACACAGCAAAAGATGACCGTGGAGTAAGTAGCAGTAATATAACAAAGATTAGCTCAGTGCTCTTCTTCATTAACTTGAACTATTATAAACTATGCATACACATGTTTTGGTGCCTCACACATGCATGGCCTCTGTTGCATCTTCTGCTCAAATTAAGCTTACTTAAGATTGTTCAAACTTTTTTTTCTTTTTTTTTTTTTCTTCAATAAATCACCATGGTGATCTGATGACAATGCCAGACTTTTAAAAATAGCAAAGCTCTAGACATGCTCTAGTAAACTGAGCGTCGTACTTATTCATGGCTTCAGATGTGTCAAGTACAGAGCCCAGTATAAAACTCTCATTTAAATAACAGCGTATGATGCATCAGTTGTATATTTATATTTTACTTTGGCCAAACACCTAACCAGCCCTTGACCCGTGCTGCTCTAACAACATCATTTCACAACTGAACACTAAACTGTTTAACTTCTGTGGCACTTCAGTTGGCAAAATACTGCTAAACTGACAGCACAATCCCCATTCAGCCTCAAACATGCCAGAAGATCCTGATCTTCTGCACACAAGCTGGTCGACCCCGGTGTCGTCGTTCTCTTCAATTAAATAAATCCCGTTAATTCAACCAGAGGTGACGAGACAAAGACCCATTGTGACACAGGACACAGCTGTGCTTCCCTCTTCCTTTCCCTCAATCAAGTAAACGGTCGCATCAGTGCTGCTTTCAAGGAGGCAGGCCCTAATGGTCTGCGTCTTCAGTCCGCCCCGTCAGGAATGAGACACGCACAGTGGACAGTTAGGCGGTTAGAGAGGGGCAGCGGAGAGAAAAGAGGGGGGGGCTGCTCACTATAGAGTTAGTGCATAACCACTGTTGCCAATCAAGTGATGTAAAACAATAACTGGAGTAGACAGAGGGGCGCCACAACAGGAATACACACATTGCCCATGTGCAACTCCTGCTCAGAGGCAGACGTATGGAGGCAAAACTGAGGTACAAACTCAGAACATTTATGTATTTTTACATTTGCAGAACCAGATCTCAACTTGTTCTGTCTTTTTTTGGTGATGTCAGGACACTAGCTTCAATAGGTCGACCCCAGTTTGTAAAATAATGACAGCTGTAAGCGGAAAGCTTAGAGGATAAAAATAGGTGCCGTGTAGCTTCACCGTGTTCTCTCAGGAGATGCTAAATGATGCGAAACATCACCAAAAAAAAAAGAGACAAGTTGATCATCTGAACAGGACAGGAAAACAAAATCATGACCGGAGGAATTAAACGAGGGAGGCAGGACACGTGTGTAAACATGCCTCTACGGGCATTACATGCATTTGCATCTCAAATTCAGAGCTACCGCCTATGTTTGATGAGCAGAATGTCACAGGCCGGAGACAAGAGAAGACTACAAACTCCCGGGGATATCCCTCCTTTAAAAAACACACGGGGGGGGGGGCAGGTGATGAAACGTGCAGTTTCAATCACTCAGGTCAACCACAAGAAAACTGCATGAAGCAGTCAACTCCACAAGCCAGATAGGTCAATGCCAGCAGTTAGAGCTGGAGCGCGCTGATTAGTAACTGAACTCAGCTACATATGTGATTGTTCAATTTAGAAACTGAGGCCTTCGTGATGGGAGGTAGAAGGAGAGCAACACACTCTTTATAAAACACTATAAAGCTTTCTTTTAGCTTATAATAAAAGAAAATTACACTACTTACGTACACTTAAAGGCTCACCTACTTTCACTTCCTTCACACACACTGCTGTATGTATTTTAATTTTCCACTTTGAAAGTGTAAAAACACTGCGATACGCACACAACAACATAATTATGGAAAGTGAACGGAGACGTCAACTTCCTCATTCTGCCAATCATCTAATTATTATTCAACCTCCTCCATTACAACGATAATGATACCTCGAACCAACTATTTAAAACAGTAAGTCTCAAATGACTTGGTAATTAGGGTTTGCAGAGAACAGTAGGTTACACAGCTTTGAGCTTTTCTGTTTAGCCAATCCACGAGAAAGCAGGTTTAGACCGTGTTAAGCAATCCCACAGGTTTCTGCCACACGGGTCAGCTTTCGTAATAAAATTAGAAACCACAGTCACTCATACCTACACAGAACAAGGTGCGTTTTTAGAGGACGCAGCCTTTAATTTACTCTGGGTCAGAGTACACAACTCTGTGATAAGGCTGATTACATTGCAGTGCCACCATTTCAAAGTGCAGATTCTCTGCCTCTCTTGCCGAGATAGGGGTAACAGCTTCAAGCTACGACCCACGTCATTTCCTCAATAAGACGTTTCATACGTTACATTGAGGATTATGTGACGACTGAACAGGACAACACAGCTCTATTGGATTGAAGATTGTACAGCAGAAATTCACTTGATGAAAATGTTCTGTGGGGGGTCTCTTTTGTCACGTTTGTTATCATACATCCTCTGGGGAACATCTTCCTGTTCTGTCACCAGTAGTACAGCACAATGGAGCAACTTCTCAGTAAAGTGAAACCAATGTGTGGCGTTCTTGAGAAGTCTAGAGTCGTAGAGCAGCGTTGTGACGGTCGAAACATGCACACGGAAGAAGTATGTTGAAGTAACAGATAAAATGCTGTTTTTTTTGTGTCACACGCGCCAGAGTTTACCGTCAGGATTATGACGAAAATACTGAGTAATCGTATGACTCATACATCAATTGTCACTGAAACTGGTTGTACATTTCAGTTTCAAGTTATAGTCAGCAGAGGGATCTGACTCAACTGAATACACTGAAATATAAGGAGCAAACTACAGACGGCAACGGCGTTAAGAGGCCTGTTCTCCGCAACTTAGGATAACTCAACTCCACCGGCAACATTTCAGATCCCCGCAGTTATTAAAGTAATTTCACGCCCGCAATAACTGCATCACTGGGTTACGACGAGTCTTATTTATAGCAATGAATGTCAGTAAAGTTTAGCAGACCCTCGTCTATTCTGGGAGGCAACAGTACTTACCCTTCAGGGGGGCTTCTGTACATCCAAACATGTACAGGAGTGGATACATGCTAGAGCCACAAACAACAGCAAAACACAACAGATGGTTTGACCTACAACATGACCATGGAGATTCTGGCAATAAAGTAATGGCAGTTGGCAATTGACAACATCTGCTCTTTTTTTTTTTGTGTGTGTGTCTCTTTCTGTCCCTTTAAGCTCCTGTTGCCTTTGTCTTCTGTTTATCACTGGGGCTTTTAACAACTGTCAAGCAAAGAAGAAAGCAACGTCAGTCTACATTAATGTCATAACCTCACAAAAGGATTTTCCATCATTTTCCTTTTTCTCAGAGCACACGATTCATTTTAAATAAGGTTTTGTCCATTTAAAGTGAATGCAACACTGTCAGGTAGCAGGTAGAGACACTGAAGGGCGCACACGTGGATTAAGTGTATAAAGACCTGTTCGGTAACAACATATAAAGTATCTCCAACTGGATTACACAGAGATATTTTTCCCTACACTCTGACATTGTTTGTAGTGCACTCTATATCTGGGACAATCTTGTGATAATCCATTACATCATGTGCTTAGCTACCCAGTGTAGCCTCCCAACCCCTGGTACCGTCGACATATACCATGAAATATTCACGTGTTTAGAGATATGAGAAGGGAGACCTTGAATTAACACAGACATAATAGATAAAAAATAACAAAAAAACGTGTTTCACATCGCTGTCTACTACAACCTGGGGAAACCATGCGATTTTAAACCACATTTTAACCAAAACACCGAGTCTGAAGCCGAGTGTGGGGGGAGAAAGACACACTCAAAGTGCTGCTGGCGAAAGAAAACCAACATGTTTTCGTAGCAAATCCTACAAACACTGAGGCATTTAACAAACCGCGGACGCTCACCAGCAGACACACAATGAGGAATACAAAGTTACACGTAATGACGTGGACTATTGCACAACACTTCCCGACACACCGGGACTCGTCGCGGAGTAACTTAACCCCGGTTTGTACATTATTATTATTAGTTTTTAAAGCTTTAATGAGACACACACACACACACACCGAGCTGTAACGAAAGCACAAACCGAGAGTCACAGTAGCGTTAGCAGTGGCTCGATGATACATCCACCGCTAGCGTTAGCACAACATTTTAACTGTGTTAAGGTTTTTATGGTAGTTGTAGTTCGGTGTATTAAACCATAACCACTCGTCGGTGCTATAAATACCCCTCCTCTACTCTTCAAGCTTCGAGCCCGGACCGCAGAGTACATAGCGTTTAACACCAGCTAGCTTGGCCACATGCTGTCGCCTGTTTCTGCCATGCTGCTCTGAGCAAAGTCACTTGACCACATTTACTTTTAGCTTGTTCGCAGCGCAACGCAACGCCGCACAACACAATTTAAAGCCGCGCTAAAGCCACAGAAACGCCATCAAAATACTCACAATCATGCACGGCGTGCCTCGGTGCGGTGTGTTTAAAGACACGTCCGTGCGCAGTTTTATTCAGATGTCTGTCTCACACAATGTCAGAGATCAGATCAGCAGCTGCTTCCTCCATACACGCAGCGCGCAGATCACACAGCGCACA